TGCTGCACCTGCTAATGCTTTGGCTCAGGCTGGTGGCACAGAGGCTGCCGCGAATTCCCCCTGAGCAGCAAGCTGTTCGTGGCAGGAATGCCTCGCTCCGAGGAGCGCTCCTGCTACGACAACAAAGAGCTCTTTGATCCTTTCCATTTGGAGAACTTAAAACGAGAAAGCCAAACTACAATAAGACCAAGTTGGGTCATAAAAAAGAGAGCAGGAGCACCAAAGCGCTCTGGAGTGTAATTGTAGAAGTAGCAAATGCTTTGGCACTTAATTCTGCTTTAGTGTCAGTTCAACATGTTTCACGTTTAAGACTGGAGAGCCTGTCGCCAAATGCTCTGCACAAACAATCTGAGGCTGCTCCCTGGTAAGCTCAGGGTGCTCAGAGAGCCCCTGGCTCCAGTGTGGCTCCTTTGGCTGTGCTTCTGTTGCACATGGGGTGGGGTTGGTCCATGGTGTAGAAAGACTTGAGATACCCTTTACTGGAGGGTGAGCCTTGGGTGGCTGCTGGTGTTCTAACCCTGCTCAATAAAAAGACTGGGACTACTCAAGTCTGCTGCCTTGGCACTGGGCAGTGGCTCACTGCCACTGGGGCTGCTCCCCAGCTGTTATTCCAGAGATGGAAGCCAGCACTTCATGCTGCTCAGGCTGTGCTTTTCTTGCCTCTGCGCAGACCTGGGCGATGTCCCAGACGTGTCTGTGGAAGGTGACATTTAGATCAGGCATTTTATAAGTAATTTATCAGAAATTTGGCTAACGGATACCACATCTTCCCATGAGTGGTAGAGGTGTGTTTAAACTAAATATGCTCCGAATTATTTATCTGCAAAGAACTGATCTGCAAGGTGTCAGCTCTGTGGAGGTGTGGCCTCATCATGTGGCCAGGCAGCAAAATTGGCAAAATTGGGGGGCAAAATTGGGGGGCAAAATTGGGGGCAAAATTGGCAGTTTGGTGGCTGCTCGTCACAGGTGCCAGGAGGTGTTGACCTGCAAAGAGCCCATGCCCTTCACAGGAGCAGGGCTGTGCCTCTGCTCTGTGTCTGCTCTGAGCAGGGAGCTGGGGCTGCGAAGCTCTTGTGCCTGCCCTGCGAGGATGTGGGCATGTGGGACTGGCTGTGGGTCCTCTTCCATCCTATGGCCAGGCCACTGGGCCAGATGGCTCCTGTGCAGCTCTGAGGCTTTCAAGAACTTCTTTATTGTAAAGAATTGATTCAAAACATAAAGCTCCATGTTTTGAAGGGCGAGTGCTCTGCAAGGTGCATCCTTGCCAGCACGATATGTATGAAATGCATCTTGGCAGCAGCTCCTGGCTGACGTCGGTGATGGAGGGTGCAGCCCTGGATCATTTGCACTGGGAGCTGCTGGGGAAGGGTGAGCCTGTGGCTGCAGCAGGGAGTGATGCTTGGCCAAAGCTGTCTCTCTTTTCTCTTCCACCCCCTTCTCTTTGGAGGAGTGAGGAGATGGCTGACAGACCCAAGCAGTGATTTGCTATGGTTTAAATAGAGACATGATTAAATTTTAAGTGATGGACACCTGATGATTGAAAAGTATTGAAAACCCTTATAAATCGATTTTTCCCCTAACAGATTGCTGTGGGTCCAGCTCTTTGTGGTGTAGGTAACATGTGCAAATGATTTATTCTATTGGGGATTATAACAGATGCTCTAAAATTATCTTTTAAGTGTTTGAAAATCATTTGTCTGTCTCTGGCGTGTTTTAGCACATACAGGAATGCTCTGTTTGGGGAAGTGAGGCCCTTATCCTGATTTATCTCAAGGTGCTTGTAAATGTTACTGCAATTTCATGTTATCAAATCATTTAGCTCTTCCTCTTCCAGAACGAAGTTATTTTATCTCATGCACCTTGTTTACTTCAAATTAGCCCTGAGGTTGGCCTGAAGTTGCACCTCGTTATTCTTCCACCTCCTGTCTCCGCCTTAGGCTCTGTCGGCAAATTTGAAGGTATAAGTAAATACTTTTTTGTTATCAGTAGAATAAGTTTCCCCTTCTACATATGTTTTCTTTTCATTCCAGTCTTCGTTTTTCATGAGAAACTGACATTGCAGTACAAGCAGAAACCTCCCAAATTGCTTGAAAAAGCCTTAATTCTCCTAGCAACAAGGTCAGGGCTCAAGTCCAGTCCCTTTCCATGAGCATGGGGGTACAGCCCTTCCAATTACCTGCTCCCTCTGTGGTATGGATCCGGTCAGTTCACCAGCACCTGGGTTTGGGTGGATTTGAATCTCAGCCATGTTATTGTTTAAAAATTCTCCACTCATTGGGGAAGGGTTTGTAGTGGGCTGAGCCCTGAGAAACCTGCGGCTGGTTTTATGGCTTCCCATTGAAACCTGTGGAACCCTGTGGTGTCGACTGATTTCCCCCTTTCCCACTCATGTGGCTTTGATCAAACCCAGGACTCGGAGAATGACTCCCCCCCCGGAACTGGAACCACTGAGCTTTGCCCAGTTCTGCCGTTCATTAAAGTGTTTGTGAGCTTCCAGTTGCGGATGGTAAAATGAGGACCTTTGTGCCTGCCTGGGATGGAGACTGCTGGTCCTATGGCAGAGCCCCTGTACAGGCCCTGCATTAGCATATTTGTTGCAAAAGCTGCCAGAATTTCCTTTACCCTCTTAATGAAACCTACCCTGGTAATGAAACCCTTTAGGCAGGATGTGCATTACTGGCTTTAGGGCAAACATCACATATTGTTGCACGGATGGAATTGAAGCTCTGCTAAAGGCATTAAGTCATGGAGGAATGGCTTGTCCTGGGGGCTGCTGATGACCAGCCATCCTCTGTTGCTGCCTGTGTGACTCCAGCCTGGGTCATCGTGCCCAATGGTTCCCATCGTGCAGCTCTGTTTGTAGCTCGTGCACGGTTTTTTGGGGATCGGGGTGCAGGGAAGCCTGAGCAGCATGGCAACATGGTTTCCCTCCTGTCTCGTGATCCCCTGCCCTTCCCACAAACTGCACCAAACTCCACTGTGATTGTGCAGGACTCTTTAGGAAGGCTTCTCTGGAAGAGCAGGCTGACCTGTCCTTGGGAAAGAGATGCAGGGCTCAGCTCTGTGCCCAGAGGAACCCCCGATCAGAGCCTGAGACCAACCATCGCTCAGGGGCTGAGCTGGTCATGCTGCTGTGGCTGTTCTGTGTGCCCTGGGGCATGACAATTGAAATGGCTAAAGACTGAGAGGGTCTGATACTATTTGGGTGGAGAGAGTTTAATAGTAGCATATGTATGCCTGCAGTACTGAAAAATTCATTGATTTGGACAATACTCTTGGACATAGGGTGTAACTCTTGGAGATGGACCTGTGCAGGGCCAGGAGTTGGACTGGATGATCCTTGTGGGTCCCTTCCAACTCGGCATGTTCTGCGATTCTGTGACCAGTGGGGAACTGTCTTGGGCTAATATTATGATGGAAATCTTCCTTTGGCTTTGCTGAGCATTAGATAAGTCCTATATGATGGTCCATATCACAGTTACGCTGTATCTACTCCCTGATGTCTTTTCATGTATAAACCAAAGTACTGGTGCACATGACAACATGTGAAATTCTAGGTGCAGCACGAGTAACTCAGCAGTTAAAGGGCAAAATATGTTTTCTGACAGAAGGTTATGGGTGAGAAGAATTTCCTCTGTGCTGAAGGACTTGAAGATGCTGTTGTGTGATGCTGTGATTCCCTCCAATGCTGCGTACACTGTGTAAGTGAGAGTTCCAAAGGCAGAGATCTATTCTGCTGCATTCAAAGCCCAGTTCTAGGTCTATTAGTGTTGATTTTCAAGCTGAACTGAGCCCAGTTTGCCAAAATCTCTAATCAGTGGCTCCATGGGGAAAGAAGTCCCAGCTGTGGGGCGGCTGGGGAGCACTAGTGATGCTCAGAAGCTCAGTGCTAATCCTGTCTCCCTCTGTGAGGAGGAAAGTGCTTTAGGGATGTGGCTTCCTAAGCCCACTCCTGGAGCTTTGGGTGGCAGTTTTCAGTCTGAGATTGAAACACTGGGAAAGAGGAGGGATCATGTCCCATGTGCAATAAGAAATGAAACCCTCTTCCAAACAGAAACCTACCCTGTGACACAAGAAGTGTAAATCAGGTACTGGCATGTCCCACTCTCTGGCAGTGGAGCTGGGGTGGGTCTGATGGCTGAGAATGCTGCTGCCATGCGGTCCTGCAGCCACAGGCACATTAGGATGCCAGTGGGATGCCATCTCATCTAGGAACTGTTCCAGTGTGGGAACAGCCCCTTCCCCTGCTGGTGTCGCTCTGGGCTGTGAGTCAGAGCCAAGCCTAGGGTGTGCAGAGTCTCCAAAATAACCACTGACTTCAGGGCTATCCAGGGTCCCAAGAGCTGGAGTGGGGTCGGGAACCTCAGTGCCTCTACCACCCCTCTGGCTCACCCCTGGAGCACCACGGGTGGTCCATCTGCCTGGTGTCGCCCTGGGAGGTGGTGGGAGAGAGTTTTCAAGGTGCTGTGAAGGCTTAAACTAAAGCTTGTAATGATCTTAGCGGGATCTGGGTAGTTATGGGTGCAAGCCCATGAGGCATTTTCGAAAACATACCAGAAGTAAGTGGTAGAAAGGGAAACACTGTTGTTTGGGCCATGGGACATTCTGGGGTTTGTTTTTTGCTGATTGTGATGTTTCCCTGGCATGAGTTCAATTCATCCTCTTTACCTAATGAGAAAAAGCAAAGCTACATGTCTTGCTTTCCTTGCAGGTGAAGGAGCTGGACTGGATAAACTTAATTGTTGTCTTTGAAAAATCTTTCTCTCCTTGCATAAGAGTATTTAAAAAAAAAAAGAAATGATGACCTCATGCTTTCTTGCTTCAAAAAAAAAAAAAAGTCTATTTCAGCTGATGCTTGTTACAACTCCTATTAACAATGTTTGAACCAAAAAAAGAGGTCCAGATGTGATGATTTTATTATCCCAAATTGGGTTTTGGTCACTGAGCTTGCATTTGGATAATTAATTTTTTCTTTTCTTTTTTTTTTTTTCCTTTTCCAGCCTGATGGCACCAGTAAGGAGTGCGTTTTCATTGAAAAAGTCCTAGAAAACAACTACACGGCGCTGATGTCTGCAAAATATTCAGGCTGGTATGTTGGATTCACCAAAAAAGGGAGGCCGCGGAAAGGGCCCAAAACCCGGGAAAACCAGCAAGATGTACATTTTATGAAGAGGTACCCAAAGGGGCAAGTGGAGATACAGAAACCTTTCAAGTACACAACAGTCACCAAGAGGACTAAGAGAATACGACCCACCAACCCCAGTTAAAAATAGATTAAAAACAGTGTCACAATAAGAAACCACAAAAAGAAAAAAAAAAAACTGCACCAGAGGAATATTTTTACATTAAAAATAAGGAAGAAGCTCTATTTTTGTACATTGTGTTTAAAAAAAAATAAAAATAAAAAAAATTAATAAAAGACTAGATGACAAATGCTGGGGAAAGCTGTCCGGGATTTATTGTGACTTGAAAAACGAAATGAACTGCTCTATTTAAATTGACTTCTTGTTGTTGATGACACACAGGTGCTTATTTCGCTCTTTGGAAAGGACAACTTTTCAAGCATATCCCCAGAGGGAAAAAAAAAAGTAATTATTAAAAATAAATAAATAAAACCAAAGAAAACCAAAGTTCTTTCCCAAAGTTACTGAGACCCTGCCCCAAAAAGTGCCGGTTTTGCAGTAATCTATTTATTGTCTGCTGCCCGCTGGCCCAAGACAAGATGGTGTGTGCTGCAGTGAGTGAGTTTCTGTGGAGTTCTCGACGCATGGATCTTCTGTAACCTTCCTGACGACATAAGGTGTCACGGCTCCGTGATCCTGCATTATGCTCAGTTCTGGAGAATGCTGCTAAATACATTCAAGTGACTACAAGATGACCTAGTACACCAATGATAAGGGAATATTTTAAAACCAGCTATATTATATATATTATATATATATAAGCTATTTATTTCACCTCTCTGTATATTGCAGTTCCATGAACCAAGTATTACTGCCTCAACAATTAAAAAGAATTATTTAAAACACATGTACATATTTTTGCTGTTCACACTTCTTTCCCCTCCCTGAGTAGTGGTTGGTTTAATGTGTATTTATCTTTTATGTGAGGGCAGCAGGATATGTTCAGGGTAGTTTCCCTGCTACGAACTCCATTGCTAATTCTGTACGTCCTCCTGTTACTTAATACCATCTTCCTCCCTGGTTGTTCTCACAAGGAAGAGGTCTTGCATGGGGTGAAGGTGGGCTGAGCATGGCAGGATCCTCGCTGGGGTGTTTAAAGAGCAGGACTTACATTTGACACTTTTCGGTCCAACCAATATTTCCTAATGTTTGGCCAAGCAGAAGGTGAACTGGAAAATGAGCATCTGATTCCATTAACACGTCCTTACGTGCGGCTTGTTTCCTTCATTAGGGGTTTTAGAGGGGCTGTTGGTTTCAGCTGTTGAATTCAATTTTGTGCCTTTTAAAACTTGCCCTCAACTGGACAAATCCTTTCCCCTGGTTCTCCCAGCCCATCAAGTGACTTGCTTCCCTGGTCAGCCCAGCCAGGTTTTCTCCTGGGAGTTCTGCATAGGACATGGATGATGTAAAGTGACCCATAAACAGAAAGTGGGGGAAGAAAGCAAGCTGAAATAACGGACCTCAGATTTTAGCTGAAATGACAACTGGGCCCAAGTGAAGTTTTAAGGAGGAGCTCACTTGGCTTTCCCCTTCTCTCTGTGTGCAGACGTTGCTGCGCTCCCTGGCTGCAGCCAGGGCTGGAAATGCTCAAAGCTACTAAGAAAGCTTTTTCTTGTTAATCACAAGAATGACTCTCCCCAGAACAAGCTTTCTCAAGATAACTTTGAGAGCTGCAGCCAAATCCTGCAGATCAAAGCTGTTTGGGAGATGGTGCAGATAAACGTGCAAGCTTGAGGATGCTTATCTGAACCAATCTCCAAACCTTGCAAGCCTAGAATAAAATGAACAGTGCTGAGCAGAGTCACTCCATGCTGCTCCAGGAGAAGCTGGGCAGCTGTACAGCTGATAGACTCACTCCAGCTAAGCACAGGAGGTCACTTGAGCAGCCCCTCTCCCGGTGGATGTGCTGGGAGCTGCTGTCCTGGTGCACCTGGAGACAAGCACAGAAATGGGACCCGATGGCATGGTGGTGGAAGTGGTTGGTGGGGGCTGGAAGGCTTTGCCAGCTTTGTCTTCAGATTGATTCATGTGGGAAAGGTTTGGGGAAAGTTCAGAGAAGTGCTGGGGTGGAGGACTGGGAGCGGCTGTAGATTTGCTATGTTAGTACCTCCAAGAAGAGAAACCCAGTTGATTTCCAGAGTGAGAAAGGATTTATGAGTGCTTTTTTTATCCACCCCTCATGGTTTCACTGTCAGAGCGACAGGGTTGGTTTGCTATTGGGGAAATTTGAAGGGGTGGAGGCAGTAAATGCTGGAGAAGTCTGGGCAGAAGGGATCTCCTCTGAGGCTGAGAGCAACCAGGGAGGATCTGCTCCCCGTCCCATGGTGCCCGCTGGTTTTGGAGGTTGTCATGTGGGATGGACGGGCCACTCAATTGGCAGTTGGGGCCTCTGGCACTTGTGTCATGGGTTGACGAATGTTTCCCGGACAGCAGTGAGACAGGTTCTTCAGGCTGTGAAAAGGCAGTGTGGTGAGGAGATGTGATGCTCCCCCGGATTAGGTGCTGTCAGTGGGATTTGTTGGCTGAGAATGGTGCTCATTAAGTATTTGTGTTGAACATCTGCTCTTCAGGCTTTATTAACAACAGAAGCAGGGCAAAGATGAGAAGAATTCATGTCAGGTTCCCTTCAGAGGACCTTCACATTGGACAAAAGGGTGCTCTGGGGAGAAGACGTTCAAGAAATGAACAGAAACAGGGGAAATCAGTCCTGTGCCCAGCAATGAACAGCCTTGTGCTTGTGGCCACTAGGCACGTGGTGTTCCTGCACCTGGATGTTGCTCGGTGCTTAGGCCAGGGGTTGTAAGTGGTTGTCAACAGACCACTGGACAGGTCTCTCTGCTGACCTCCAGACTAGAGAAGCTTGTCTGTGGTGTTTAACCCAATTTTTTCCTTCCAGAAGGTTTTCGATATCCCTGAATATGAGCTGAGATTTCCCATGTAGACTGTGACATTTGATTTACTTTATAATTGAAAATTGTTAAAAAGGATTTAATTACTATTGTGAAAATAACCTCAAGAGCAAGGGGCGTAACACTAGGTGATTGCTTGAAGCAACTGATGGCATTAATGTGTGTGGAGCTCTGAGTGAGCACACTTTAACAGGTACACTAATTATTAGGTTTAATAAAAGCATTTTGTGGCTACTGTCTCAGAAATACTGCTGGATTTGTCACAAAATCACAATAGCTGAGATCAGATAATGGCTTGGTCTGATAACACTGGCTTTGTCATGAAGCCGGGTGCAGGGCATCCTAAAATGTGTGTCCCACCCAGGAGGGAAACTCTGTGGGTCCAAGAAAGTTTTTTGAGCATGTTGCACAAACCAGGCTGCTGTTTGGTCAGACCTTCTGAGTGGTGGGTCTCTCATGCTGTCCCTGTGATGGTGAAGGGTCAGTGGCCAAAGCTCAGCTAGTGTCCGGTCCAAGTAGGGCAAACCCTTCACCATGATGGTGTTGTGCCCTGCCTGGGGCTTACCACTGGCCAAGAAGACAAAGAGTGTCCTGGTCCCTGTGCAAGGTGTCTGCCAGCTCCCTGACAACCTTCCTTGGACCACAGAGCTGTGAGCAGGTGGGAGCAGTTGACCAAATTGCCATCCCTGCAGCTGGATTCCCCAGGCTGGTGTGGTCTTTCCTGCTTGACATCTGAGTGGTTTTGTTCTGCCTCTGCCTTGTTGATGCAAATGCAGGTGCCACTGCAGGCTCTGTGCTGCAAGGCCAGGCCTTGCAAGCAACAAGGTTGCTGCATATGGTGTGCCCTGATGGAGCCTGATCTACCCTCTCAGCTTTTGGCAACACAGCCTTTGGGAGCACAAGAACGTGAAATTTTTGTTCATTTTCATGTGCTCTCTCTGCAGTTTTTAGCTCAGGATCATCTCCATGCTGCTGGTTCACAGGCTGACAGCTCGGATGACCTTTCTGCAGATGTGAAGCAGAGGGGCAGCCTCTTCCAGGAGCAGGTTTGCAGTTTTAGCTCTGCCCTTCTGCAAGCAGAGGGTCATTGCACCTGCCCAAACATGTAGTCTATCTATGCAGGGGAGTTGATCCCTTCAGCTCTTACACACCAGCAGGTGTGATATCTCTGCAGTTAACAATAGCTTCTGGGAGCATAGCTGATACACCTCTCCAGTAAATGCCATAAGGGGGTCCAGGTGAGAATGAAGCAATCAAGTCAAAAATAGTCTGGGGAAGAGATGCTGCCCTGGTGCTTCAGTGGCAAGAAGACTCAGTTTCTTATGTCCCTGGCTGCTGGAATTAAGGCCATAGTCTAAAAGAGCTGGATGCTCTAGTGCCTGTGAACCTCATGTGTCTGTAGGTGTGTGGGAGTGGAGCAGAGCTTGGGGAGGATCTTGGAAAGCACTGTGAGGCCTCAGCTCAGCTCGCCCCTGCCTGCTGCATTGCCTCCAACCACCTCGGTCTTTGCAGTAGCTTATCCGCCTGGGCTCATGGAAACATGGCAGGGTGGAAGCTAGGTCTGGTTTAAGCAAACACCCAGCCTACACCAGCCTTGGAGCAAGGCTTAGCCGGCACTTGTGTAGCCCTATGGGTGGTATTCTGCCCCATGGATATCCATCAGCTTTCCTTGATTCTCTGAGCAATTTGAGTCTCTGTACACAAAAGCAGTGGAATAAGATTTCAGCCAGGACTTTAGACTCCAGCTGGAGAAGATGGTCTTTGTCTTGTCTAGGAGAGTTTGTCCACCAAGGAAGATCTAACTGAGGAATAGGAGTCAACTCTAGGTGGGACAGAAAACACGTGTGACTTTGGCTCCGACACCCTGCTGTGTTACCATGCCTACCTTTGAAAAATAAGGCTGGAATATGTGAAAAGGGGTGTGTGGGGGTGTGTGTGTGGGGGGGTGTAGCAGTGGTTGTTCTTTTCTAGGGCACTGGATTACTGTACAATGCAAGTACCTGCTGGTGCAGGAGGAAGAGGAGCTGTTGGTGTGGCTGTACATACCCCCTGCAACAGCCCAGAGCCCCACTCAGTCCCGCTTGTCCACCAGAGCAGAGAGGAACACACAAAGCATGGGGTGTCCCCCAGCAAAACAGCTTTTCTCTGCTGTCCACTCTCAGGCATTTAACGTTGTGGTTTGTGTCTGCTGCAAGGGAAGGCAGGTATATTCCTATGCATAATTTCCTTGTGGT